TGATATATACATATATATATATGTGTATATACTATTTGTATATACATTATCTTTTACATGTTACATATTATATAAACAAAAAATAACACAATACAGGCCCCAGTTTTTGGTGCCTGTCGCGATTTGTGGATTTCAGAAAACCACGTCATGGAGGCCTACCGTATCTTAGTACATCAGAGCAATTTCAGTACATCACCAGTATTTGTACTTATGTTTCTGCAAGCTCCTGTGTGCTGTGAGGACCCTTCCTGGCCACTATAACAGCAGAGGGTCTGGGGGGTCCGGTCCGGGTGGCGGGGGAGGGGGGGGGGAAGCACAAAAAAAACAATCAGATTTTTTTTGGCTTTGTTTTTTTTGGCCTTCGCCCCCCCCGGGCCATGGGGCTTCCAGGCCGCTATGATAAACATAAAAGAAAATGAAGGAAGATGAGCGTACGCATTTACCTCTATACCAGCACTTTCAAGATTAGTGGACAGAAACTCATGAAAGCAGATTGCCTACGAGATACTCCAACTATGCATACATTACCTATGTATCAATGACAGAACGAACGGTGTAGACATATGTATGTTGTGTTTATGCATAACACCACTATGCATCTGTATCAATATTCTTTTGTACAGACGGACAGGCTTGCGATCCAACATAGACTCATCATGGACCTTCTGAACGTTTTAGGACATTTTAGAAGACCAATGCCATCACATCAAAGAGAAGCAGCAAAATCGGAAAGCCGGAAGTAGCCAAAGAGCATGATGCATGGCGAAATCCAGCTGAATCCTAAAGATAATGTGGTTGCAAAAACCCCAAATTATGGAGCCAGGCAATAGCTTGAAAGCCAGGTTTTCTAAAGCAGATCATGGGTCAAGTCCACAAATGACATGATGACAGCGACATCCAAACTGCTGAAATAAGCGGATGCCACGGATGGCTTTTGATAGGGCTGCATGATGCCCAAACCATCCCCGAACCCAAGAAAAAATATTGACTCGTAAGCCTCTTCAAGAGGAGATGATGGGTGGCAAACCCCAAACCCTGTAAAGCATGGCTGGGTCCTCAAAACTTTGTAAGCCAGAAAGCACTAATGACTTCGCACCTGCTTAAACATCCGTCTGGCAGTGTGCATATCAACATCTTTGTTAGTGGCTTCCCAAACCGTCGCCCATGATACACCGTGAGTCTGAGTTTAGGATTCTGGTTCTAGATATAATATACAAAGCATGTATAAGAGAGCGCTGGTATTTACATATATTTGCAGAAATGTACGTAAACAAACATGCATACCAATTTCTCCGGGTCCGTGCTACTCCAAATACAGTCTTATCTATCCAAAATCAACAATTTGAGCATGTGAATGCTGCGGGTCAATACCCAGTCAAATTATAGCTGTTGTTGATGTTGGACTGGGCCGATAACCATCCGAGTTCAGTTCGTTATTGCCGGCCAATACCCATGTAATTCAGTTTGTTGTTCTTGTGGGTCAATACCCATCCAAATTTAATTTGTTCTGTTGCGTTTCGATGCGTATCAAAACGCAGTTTCATGTTATGGGCCGATTCCCATCCAATTTCAATTTGTTGTTTTTATGGGTCAATACCCATCTAAATTCTGGTGTTGAGGTTCGATACCCTGCTGTAATCAAGTTGCGTTGTCATGGCTCAATACCTCTCCAGTTCGTACTTAGTGATATCGGAGCTCATTACCAATCCAAATTCATGTCTTGATGTTGGGGTCAACAACCTTCTTACTTGACAACCTTTATTTGGGTCGTCACCTATCTAATTTGTGTTTTGTTGGCTATGGGCCAATACCCATCTATATTAATAGTCGTGCTGGTGAGGCTCGACAAGAAATGAATTCCATGATCTGCTGTTGGGTGCTAATGCCCATTCAAATTCAGTTTTGTTGCCGTCTAAATATAAGTTATCATTCTTGTGGATCACTATGGTATAGTTTGTTGTTCTTTTTAGATTTAGATCATTACCTATCGACATAAAACCAGCTGGTGCTGAGGGTCGCAACCGACCCAAACTCCGCTTTCTATGTCGTGGATGAATACCCATCCAACTTCAATTAGTTCGTTTTTCTTGTCAATATTTTGGTAGGGCATGCCAATATCAATTCAAAATTGTTGGAGGCCGTGACCTATCCCTTTTCAAGTTGTTGTAGCTACAGAACCATTGCCATCCCAATTCGTTCGTTGTTGCGTGCCAATACCGTCTGGTTGTGGCGTAGTATACATCTAGAATCACTGTAGTGATATTGTGAGTCCATACCCATCGGAAATCAGTTCATCAATTTGATATTGCTGTTGGGCAAAAAACCTGCAATGTTTTTGCTGGATGGTCAATATCGATTCAAAACTCATTTTCGTTCTTGAGAATCAATACCATCTAATTTCAGTTTATTGATATCATATGTCCTTATCTTGGAGAGAGCTTAAAACATCTCAAAAACCACGCGTTTTACTCGACAAACACGGGCCACATTGCATTACACTCTTCAGAAAGAAAAATACCGAGCATATTCGATATTATTTTTGCATACTATATATTGCACATTACAGGTTATGTTAGAATGTGTTATATATAACCCAGCCTATATTGTACATTATGTTTTACATTCAGTATTTTCCAATAAGTTTCACATTGTATATTATACTTTATATCTCAAATACTATGTGTGAGAAAATTATATAACGTATATTGTAATATTGTATACTGCATATCTATATTAGGTAATAAACACATATAGTCAAGTAAATATTCTATGCTAGATGTTATATGTTGTATATTTTATCTTATTAAGAATATATGTTGCATATTCCAGGTGAATTGTTTTTCGTCATATTTATTGTATATATTTTATATATAACCTACCTTGTCTATATATTCTACAAGCTCTGCATATTCTATATTTCCTTTAAGTTCTTTATACTTCATGTAGTCTCTCAAGTCTATATGTGCTATACGTTCTATCTATTCTATCCATTTTCTGATTTTGAAGAAAATATATTACATTCATTACTACTAGATGCTAACTATTATAGATTAGACACTTCATATTTCTGCTATATGCTGTATAATATGTTTTATATTATCTTCTATATTCTCTCTAGTCTATATATTCTATATAATCTATTTCTTCTATATATCCAAAACATTTCAATCAGTCTAAACATTCTATACGTTCCAGATATCTATATGTTCTACATATTCTATCTGTATTCTCTAATAAGTTCTGGATAGTCTATATTTTTACATATTCTATATATTCTGTATGTCTTATATGTTCAATATATTCTATATTTTCGGTATAATATATGAAACATATACTTTAGGCTATATATCATACATTATGGAATGTAGTTTATATTTGATATCATATATTATGTATTATATACAAAATAATATATATATATATACATATAATGCATCACATATTTCATTTTAGATTTTGTATTTTCGATTCTATATTATCCGCTCCTGTCGCTCAACAGCTGTCGCTACTGAGAAGCCCGCAGCTGTCGTGCCAGAGGCAGATGAACATCTTGGAGCTTGCTCTGAACCGCCGCTTCCTGCTAGGCGACTCGGGGCCATTGTGGCATTTGTGGTGATTCTGGGCCGCCTTCGCTGAATCGATGTCAACAAGGCTGCGCCCGAAAGACTGAAGCCTGAGCTCAAGAGAACCGACTTCGATAGGGTAGGCTGGGCCTGTCGGATCGGAGGCACGGACGCCACAAGGCACCTCTTGCCATCTCCCTGACAGAGAGACAACAGACGGCCCCTTGCTTTCGGCACCGTGCCCGGGCCTTCCACCACAGAATGGCGACGAGAGTCGAAAGAAGAATTGGGGACAAAGTTCCAGAGACCTTGCCAGCCACCACACAACAACAACCGCGAAATTGAAACTCCAGGAAGCAGTGCAGATATGCAGATGCCACAGCATGACCCGAGAATCAGATAAGCTGCACCGTCTTCCAGGACTCGCCATGCATCCATTCTAGAGGCAATGAGTACAGACACAGATGCAACAGAGTGTCTCGTCGCGTAAGATGTCTCCTGCCTAGTTGCTCACATCGACAGCTCGGCTACAGAGTCAACACAACGTCCGACTGATGATGCTTCGAGCAGCTGGAAAAAGCAAGAAGCTGTAGCAGATCAAGCTTCACTTAACACCCGCACCTGCTTCCAAGAAGAAGCACCAACTTTACTAGTAGCAGATGTATAGCTGACGAAGTCACTTTTGTATATACATACATTATCATATATATATATATATATATATATTTATTTATTTATTTATTTATTTATTTATACAAATATTTCTGTAGAAAAAAAGACATATATATATATGCATAGTAAGGACACGCATTTTCGGCACCTTCTGAAGGTCTGCTCCCTGGGGCCGCCGATTTGTCGGGCGCTCAAAGCTTTGAGGTCACTTCGCCGGAAGCCGAGCCCTGCGGAAACTCTCTCAGAGACTTGGCGGAATTATCCGGGGAACTCGACTGCATTAGACACACTGCAGGCATGGCAGCCTGCATAGCACCCAAACAGAGCTGCAGCGGAGACATGCCACACGGGATACACAGGCTCACTATGACCTCGGCTGGAAAAGCGCAGGTAGAATCACCTACCACGATCTTTGCTCTGTGCAATTCCCAGGGGCGCATGTGATCAGAAAGCAGGAGAAGCCCACAACCACATCCTGACAGTCACGAAGAACACTTGCGAAGGATGTTGCAATTTCGGCTGGGCCACGGAATTCGCAAGGCACCAGTCATTAAACCTCAGAGACGAGAGCTGCGTTCACGGCTGATGCGGTCTTCTTACCTCCTCTACTTCAGAAACCGTTTCTTTGCGAGCGGCGAAGCTGTGCTGGAGCTTTTGTGGCTCAAATCTTTCCTGAGAGAAACCACAGACTCGTGCTCACATGGTGCGTCCGCCACCAGCATCTTCAGTCTGGGTTCGACATCAATCGTAGACGCAGTGCTTCGTTTTCAACCTGGCATCAACAAAACACACACCTTGAACTGCAGGTGGCCATGGCAATACGAAACGGCAGCAGCTAGACAACCCCTCATCACCTGCAACGCTCGAAGCCGGGGTGTCATCACCACCTGCGAACACTCTGTCAGGCAGCCCTGAACTGTGATCCGTTAAAACTTGCCTCCATCCGATGCTCATCCATGTGCCGTCGTGGCCTGTAGCTTTTGCGGTGCGCTTGAAGGGCTCAAGAAACAGAACCACTTAGGACGCCGGCTCTGTTTCGGCCTCCAACATCTGCTCGTATCTGCGATTCGGAGGAGACGGAATGGATCCGGAAATTCCACAAAGCTGCCAGAATGAAGGAGAAATGGTGCAATCTGAGGTGTTGCCCTGGGCCCTGCGTACTCACACGATCAAAAGGTGACGCACCTCGCTGCACCCGCAGCTGCATCGCTTGGTCTGAGACCGGCCTCTGTCGTGGTCTTCTCAGGAGACCTAAACCCTAAAGTTTAAACAACCCTGATTCCCTAACATGGAACGGCGACTCAACGCCCAGTCATGAATCTGACACAGAACTGGTGGACTTTCAATCATGAGAATCTGCGGAACAAACTCACAAGAAGCTTTCCTTTTCTTGAACAGCCCTCTGATTCATGGCGCCTGTTCGCAACTCCAACTGAGAGAAACCATGCAAGACTGATGCTTGCTTCGATTCGACGAATAACAGAAGTTTGACATTGAACCAGCTGCCATGCCTTGCATCCTGTCTCTTCAATCGGCCCTGAACTCAGCCACGAAACTGATGGGGCCTCTTTGTACCGGCATCAGCACCCCGCGCAACCCGTCGACATCACGAAAGAAACAAAAAACGTCTGTAAACATCAGCTCCAAGACTTCTTCCTTGGACATGTGCGACATCCTCAAGAACCAACAGTTCAAGAACAACGAAATCGGCCCAGGTATGGGGCGAATCTGTCTCTTCTTGTTCACTCGAACTTCCTCTCCGTTTCTGGCAGATGCATGCTCTCAGCCGAGACGCCACTGAGTCAGCAGGCAACGAGAGTTGGTCACGAAAGCCTCAAACTTGCAAACCGTCAATTGTGCAGCCTCTTCAACTGCATTGCGACATCTGAGGCCATGTCTGGAAGATGCCTCGCACATGGGAGACTCAAAGTGAGCATGGACCATGAAAGCAGCAAGCCTTTGCTAGTATCAAGGATGTTTCTTCAAAACAAGTAAGTCCGTGCTAAGCTCGCATCAAAGCGACGGCAATCAGCGAATTCAGCGGAAACAGCCCACCAAGCCAAAGTTTGTTCAGCAGTTTCCTATGCCCAGGATTGCACCAAGGATGGCACAGCAGCAGAAGTCAGCACTCTAGGGCAGCGATCCACGTCCGAGAACTTCGGAGGAAGATGCTGGGAAGCAACTCCGTTTGATGCTTCAACACATGGCTACAAAGCTAAGGCTAAGGCTAAGACTACAGGTTCAAGCCTGTGGCGGAAGATGCACCGGCCCGTGTTGTGCTGCTAAATTCTGGAACTCTCTACACTGCACAATTACTAGCTTACGACTCTTTTGGCAGGCGCGCAGCGCCCTGTTGTGTAGCCAGGTAAAGGCAGACTACGAAAATGCAAGGCGCGGATGTCCGATGGCATCGGTTTCCTGATGGCGAGCCTTGTGACTCTTTGCAACTCTTTGCGCTTCTTGCAAAGGATATGGCGAAGGACATGCAGTTCGTGCTTCAATCGAGTTTACATGTTCTCAGGTACTGAACGGTGGAGGGGTGGAGGGGTGGAGGGTGGAGGGGTGGAGCGGTGGAGGGGTGAGGGGTGGAGGGGGAGGGGTGGAACTGTTAGAAAACGGAGCGTTCCTTA